TTTCCCTTATTTAGCCAATCTTCTCTTAACTGCAAGCAAAAGACCAGAAGATGCAGCCTGCAATTTTTCAGCTATCACAAATGTTCACATTGCTTGTATGTTCCATGTCTTCCCTATCCTACATCTGTCCTGTCTAGTTAGTCTGTAAACTCTCCATCTCTGTGCTGGTGCCTGGCATAACAGGGTTGATGACCAAATACAGGCCCTAAGGGAAATGGGGTATGATGTGATGATGCAGGCACTGAGTGTTGAAGCACTTGGAGCATGGGGCCCAAGCAATAAAAGTGGCCTGCACACCTGTAGAGTACCCCACCACTACTCAAAACCGATGAGGGGGCTCATAGCATCCAGTGGTCGAGAGACATCTATGTTGAATGCATCACCGGCCACTGCCAATATGAAAGCAGCTGCCTGAGACTGCCAGCCAGAAGCGAGACCAAGGGAACAGACTAACACCCCGCACGCGCCACTAACTGGGGTTTCTCCTTATGGCCTTTCCCCACCCACCTTTTTTCCCCCTCCCCTTTCCTGCTTTACCTTTTGTCTTTCTAATTTCTATCTATTCACATTCTCACTGACATCCTGCCAGGCTTTTAGCTACTCTCATTCCTTGGAATCGCAAAACAGCAGAGACTCCCCATGCCTGAAGAAGGGTGTTTGCACTGGAAAGCTTGCCGAGAACTTTTTTTCAACTACTCAGCTGGTCTAATAAAAGATATCACATCTACTGAAAAAGCCTTGACTAACTGACAAAGACTGTTAATGCCTTTGACTCTTCCCCACCCCAGCAATTGTACACCGTATGCTAAATTCATTGTCCCAAAAGGTCTAGGCACCTTACACTCTGTCCTGATGCAGTTACCATGCACAGGGCATTATGTCTCTCCCTCTCACACCATGATAATGGCATTTTTTAACCCTTATACCCTGAGCTAATGGAGGCTGCATGACTAACTGTATGTCCTAGATCAGGGGCAATTATTTTGGGCAGAGGGCCACTTACTGAGTTTTGGCAAGCCATTGAGGGCTGCATGACAGGCAGCCCAGGGCAGATAAATATTAATTTTCTAAAATTTTTAGGGGCCCCGCAGGCCGTATCTGGCCCGCGGGCCACATTTTGCCCACCCCTGTTCTAGATTGTATCAACATATGTACCATGTAGCTACCAGATGTGGGGTCCTACATTCTCGTCAGTCTCTACAAAGCCATGTAAATACCAGTAACTATGATTTTTAACATTTACTAATACAGTTTCATATCTATAACTTGCCTTAGCAAGGAGATGCAACTTTAGAGCCTTTTTCCAACCCAGGACCCTATTTTCTATCAAATAAAAGAACACAGCAGGCTGACATGAGCTTTCACTGCTACAGTCACCCAGGCCAGCTGGAATTACAGCGAGCATCGCACCACACCTTCCCTTGCAATGCAGACACACTGCCTGTTTTCAAAGGCTGCAATCCAGCTGGTTTCTAGCGGGGCTGAAGCTTCGCTAGAGGCAGAGTGACCTCTGCTGGCTCAAAACTGGAATCCTTGCTGTTCAGGCTTTTCCTTCAGACCAGAAGAACGCACTGCATTTAAAAAAGCTTCCCAAAGTTTATCCCAACCAGGCATTTTATCCAATAGAAAATATCATCCACACAAATCCTTGCCTCTCGCACACTTCAGCTCAGCCATTCTCAGATGGATGTGAGATGTGGGCCTGATCCTCCCCCCTTACACACTTATTTGTAGTGAAATAGCTTCACTGACAATAGTGTACAGTATATTAAATTAGTGACTCGACAGTAACCATAACCCCCACCCAGTGCTATAGCTATAAGGTAACACCCCGTGCTTGGGCCAAGTCCTGTTACTACAGCACAGGAAGGTGCCCATGGAGTTTTAGAAACAAGAGACCCAAAAAGTCCTCCCAAATTCCTACCCAAAAAGTAAGTGAATAAGGACCAAAGCAACGGGATGGTCCTGTAGTTAAGGACACAGCCTGGGACTGAGAGACAGCATTCAACGCTTGTTCTGCCACATTTGGCCTGTTGGACAAGTCACTTCAGCTCTTTCTTGTTAGTTCCCTCCTGTTTACCCAAAACAGAGTAAAATAACATTTCCCACCTACCATGCTGTGAAACTAGATAACAAGCATGACTTCCACATCCCCTGTGATGACAGAGCTGTGCAACAACCCTGATAGCTAGAAATAGGAGCAAAGTATGAAGTCACGAGGCTATACACGGTATGTGACCTTTCTAATTAACAGTGGCAATAAGGGTTGGGTTCAATATGTCTAGGTCCTTCTCAACAAATAAGTAAACCACATTCAAGCCTCAACAGAAACCTGAGAAAAATAAATGCACCTGCTGCGGGTGCCTGAACACAGAATTCCCCTGCTTGCAACTTACCCAAAGTCTGAGCCAAAACAAGGAAATCATTCAGGGAAAGAAAATAGAGTCAAACACTTGGAAAAACACAACAGAATCAATATTTAAATAAAGAATAAAGAACTCCTATTGCAGTCCCTTTGGCAGTAGTGTATCTAGTTCCTTCCCGGACACCAATGATAACATTACACTTGTTAGTTCCTCGGCCATCAACACTTCCCCTCCCAAGCCAGCAACCTCACCACTAGGCTAGAGGCTCCGGAGGTGCCCCACTCACCGCTTGGAAGGAGTACACAGCAAGAGCCCACATGTCTCTCCCCCAAGATGCTTGCCTGGTCCTGCCTGGAGGCGCCACCTCAGCTTGGTGACTCAACTTGCTTTAGGTGCTGACTAGCCCGGGCCTCAGGAGTCCACTCTGCAGCTGTCTTCTCTGTTGTGTCGTGCAGCAAAATCATCTGCAACAGCTCTCAAAGGAAAGGCACTCGTCTGCACGGTCCCTAACAGCAGATCCTTTGAGCAAAACGTCAGATTGCCTGTCAGAGCAAGGTCAATGCAGAGGGAGGACTCAAGAGCGCTTATATGTAAAGTTCTCGCTGCTTGGATATGAGCTCTTTGTCACAAGGTCAAACCTCTTTCATCTCCTTGATCGTCTTTGCCGCTCCCCTCCCTGAATCCAAACGCACGGTCTGGTGCCCTGCCACCTGTTACTCGAAGAATTGTGGCTAAGTTATCTATGCGAAAAGGGAATTTTTTTCCTTTTTCACTAACAGCAACCAAGAGCTTGCAACCATCGTGATGTCAAGCACGTGGCAAGCCCTTTTTGCTTTTCCTATCGGTGTTTTTAAATAGTGCAGACGCTGAACTGGATTCACTGAGCTAGGCAGAGGGAAGGGTGGCGTACACCCGGGAGCAGCCAAAATGGCATTCACCTCATCACCTCAGGGAGGCACGTTAAGGGACCAAAAACTCGAAGATGGTGGCGTGTTGCCTCCTGCTGCTCCTAGGCTCAGACAAGAGACCCAGGGCCGTGCAGACACATAGCCAAGGGCGCGCAGGAGCGAGTGGGGCCCTCAGGCTCAGCATCTCGGGTCATAAGCAGGAGCTTTGCTTTGCTTCTAGCGCGACCGCACCGGTGAGGAAGGGGACGCTTGGCTAGCGAGGCAGACACGTTTAGCACAAAACAGCAACGTCCCTTCAGGCAGGAGCAAGCCTGGGGCTGCAGGTGCTGTGGGGGAGGGGCTGCCACAGCCTGGCAATGGTGGCTCTAATGCAGGGGTGGGTACAAAGCGGCCCACAGGCCGGATGCAGCCCGCCAGGCCTTTTAGAATTTTTTTAATTAAAAAAAAATTTAGAAAATTAACATTTATCTGCCCCTGGCTGCCTGTCATGGCTCGCCCGAAATAATTGCCCACCCTCCTCTAAGGGCAGCAGGGGCCCTGAAGACAGGCCAGGCATTGCCCGTGCACCACCGTCTCCCTCCCAAATCTGACCCTCGCTGTCCCCCGTAGTCGGGCAGCGGGGTCACATGACCGACATGGGTCCAACTGACGCCATGCTGCGGGGCCCGCCGGGAGCTGTAGTGCCCCCGCCCCGCGAGCCGCCGCCGAGCCCGCGCCGCCGGACCACATCTCCCGGCGTGCCCCACGGGT